ATATATATATATAAATATATATATATATATATATATATATATATATAGACTATAATATATATATATATATATATATATGTATATATATATATATATATATATATATATAATATAAGCATATATATACACGGATACCTTCCTAAATTATTCTATCGAATCATTATTATTATAGAATCAATTCTGCCTGTGCAGCATAACAATAGATACAACTCCATGGCGCGTTGTATCTGTGCTTGCCAGTTGTTTCTGTACTGTGCAAGTAATATGTTTATCAACGATATCGGTAAATAGAGTACTGAAAGAAATACACATACCGTATTTTTGCAAGTTTTCATGCCCAAGCACATCGATTTCCGAGAAAAATAAAGTTACGACGAACAAATTCAGCTGATCGATCCAATGCGACAAAAGCATCTCGAAGAACGTAGGGTTTTTCCGCTGCAACATTTTTGCAAACAATGCCTGATTTCAATCACTTAGCAGATCAAATATATAAACTATATGTGGCTCTATGTGGTATCAATCTGTCAGTAACCTTCCTAGAATCCGAGTAGGTCTAACGCTTATAACATGTGAATATTATGGCTCTCCTCGAGTAGTTGCAACTTTTTTTACATGTGTGATTTCACATGAATTATAATTTTTATGAGAACACTCGAAATCTCGAATTAATATTCAACTTTTATCAAGAAGCTGCGAGCCCGTTGCGGCGTGCATGGAACAATTTATCCTGTCTCTAGATAGTAGATGACCAATAAAACTCCAGTTTATTTTTTAAATGAAGTTACCATATCGGGCGATACGCAAATAACGGTGTGTGGAAGCCATTTATTGGCTGTCCGAATCCAAAGCCTTCCATTATTTGAATATTAGGTCGAAACGAAAATTTGTTTTTATAAAAAAGGAAAAATTTTCCATTTTCAATCCGCATAGCCGACCGCGTCTGACTCCCGACTCCCGACTCCCAACTCCCGGGTCCCGATAGTGGCCGGTGGCGTCTTTCGGATTTTTAAATTATTTTTTGTTGAAATAGAGATCGGACACAGGATGTCTCACATAATTCTTTCAAATGTATTAAGTACCAGTTTTAAAACGTGTTGTATGACTATATTATAAAAACTCATAAATACTACATATTTCATATTTCCAATTTTCGCTACATATTTTCGTTTTGTAGGTCCTCAGAGCCCCAATTTTCAATTTTGGTCTCATATGTATTACCGAAAATGGCGATTTCACCCGACTTCTTTTATATTTAGGATGTTTTAGCACGAAGAAGCCAAATTGAACAGCAAACTCTGCCGACACATGACCATATGACATTTAAATATGTGCGTAGTCATAAAAATAAATAGCCTGTGTGCAAATCCATAGAGCCAACTGATCACGCGTAAAACTGAATTTTGAGTTCTGAATCCTGACTTCCTGAGACCTCAGTTCTGAACTTTTGGGCTACACCCAGGTCTTAAGAAACGCAAACATATTTTATATAGGTAAACTAAGTTTACAAAAACTAGTTTACTTTTATACAAACAACCACAACCAATATTTTAGATTTAAATATACTGTCTTTTACAGCCTGATGACCCCTGTGTCTATTTATTGTCTAACGCCGTGACATCATTGCAACATGCAAAATTTCCTTTTTATTTAGCATTTATATATGTAAATAGGCGCCCCTACTACTAGGAGGCTAAAAATATTGCAAATTACAGTGAAAAAGTATTTTGTTTTTAAATAAATAAATAAATATATGCATACATGTACAGTAGGCCCGTAGGGCACTCAAATAATTTCTACTTTTTAAAATATGCCACGAACTACGTCACTATTACGTACGATTCAATCTCTATTTGATTCCAACGCTGGACGATCACCCTCAGGAGGCTCAGGTTGATAGTGCTATTTAGATAGATCTCCCGACTCACGTCGTAAATGTTAACTGTCTATGTACACTGCTGTGAATATTTTGGCTAATCGTCACGGTGGCTTCTTTCCTTTCCCATATATTTTTCAAGTTTGCCCTATTGTTCGTCAAGGACGTGCTTGGAAATACAATAATAAGTGAGAATTTATTTACTTACCTAATCCACATGATCTCGCTTTATTGACTGTCAAAAATTGATACGCTTCCTTCACTATGGATGTACAGGTTGTAGTACAGCGCAAGTAAACGTGGACAGTCGTGGTACTAATCGTGGTAGTATCGTGGTATTTAGTATTATGGGAATACTGTCAATACACAAACACATTTTTTTCTTCTTCCAAAATTAAATAAATACTCTTGAGTCTTGAGTCTTGGCGACTTGGCGAGTTGGCGTCTTGGTCCTCTGTCCAGTGTCCACCCTGCGGCCTGCTGTCAATTGTGAATTGTCAAGTGTCAACAGTCAACACCCCAAAGGGCAAAGGCCCCAGCCGCCAGCCGGCACAGCTTCGAGCATTTTTATTTATTTAAAAACAATCAGATGAATGAGATCTAATAAGCAAACTGTTTTTTAACTTTTTTTGCATTTATTTATTTAAATACAATATGTACCGTATTTACATATTTACATATGTATTTAACTCTAAATAATTATGTTATTTATATATAAAAACCCCCAATACAAATGCCATAGACATGCTTTTAAAACTTTTTTTTCCCTGCTGCTGTATTTGGTTTTATTTTTATAAAAATGGAAGGCTATTTATGCTGCTGCAGGCCTGCACTCCCTGCAGTGCTGGTTGCTTCAAAAGAATGCGCCTTACATATCATTAAATGAATGCGATGCTCACGATTGAGCCTTTTTAAAAGATATATCACTTGTTTAGGTCGCAGTATGTCAAATTTGCTTACTGGGCTGTGTTACGGAAGGAATTTGTATAGAATAACCCTAATCAATAATGTAGGGCCGCGATCGAACGGGGTGCGCCGGTGGTATTCAACGAATAGAAGGACGATTTGGACCGAAACCACGCCCACAGAGGTACATATAAGCTATATAAGATTATTTGTTGGCTATCTCTTTTAAAACAAAATCCGTTGCGCGTGCACGATTTGAAAATTACAGGTATTGTTTATGACAATATACGAGAAGTTTAATAAATATATAATTGTATCTATCTATAAAGCACTATAAGTAATA